ATAAGGTGGTGAAGTACTAGGTTGTTGAAACAGTCATGCTGTGACCTCTATTGTTATATTGTTATGTCCTGTTTTATCTCAATCTCCCCCTTATTGTTTCAAAAAAAATTATTTAGTCATTTCTTATGTTTGTCTTAATTAAAGAAAAAATTCAAAAAAATTAGGATATATAAATAGTAACTCTTTTCGATTTCCTATTAACTTGTTTTGAAGTCCTGTAGTACTCCCTTGATCTTGTTTTGACTGATTAGACTCTGTTCCATTCTATATGATAGTATCAAGTTTGAAGACATAGGCAACTACTTTGAAGACAATAAGATTCACTAAGATACCCATTCTGGTTTGACTATTGTCTTCTTTGGAAGTCCTGTAATGTTTACAATGCCTAAGTTTTATTGGTCTTGTTCTCTACTGTTTTGTCCAACTTTATAATATCTAATAAGATAGACAATTCTTTTTAAGGAAACAAGGGACAACGTTGATAACCATTGTTGATAAACTTGTACTCTGTTCTACACCATGTGCTATGTCTATCCTTGGTATTGACTGATAGCTTTGTTTTGCCATATTTGACTGTATTCTCCCCCCCCCCCCAAAGAAAGTAATAAGCACTAAGGAGTAATAAAATCCAAGATGTGTAAATTTTGTTGTAAAAAAGAGAGGGAAAAAAAAAGAAAAAGAGCTCTAACGGATATAACAGCAAGTGTGTTTGGGGGTGTTAAATAGCTGACTTTATCAATGTTTTTGGAACATTGAACACAGCTGTTTGCAGTCTCCCTGTTTGAATGTCCACCTTGTGTTCTTTGATACTGTGATTTGAGGAACTATTTTCAAGAAAATAGTGTGTAATCTACTAGCAGGTAATTTCTTACTGTTATGGTTTTTTGTTTTGTTTTGTTTTGTAGTTCTGTATTGCGTGTACCCTTACGCCGCTTTGGTTTGTTTTGTGTTTTTCTCTTTTTCCTCTTAAATAAAACAAAAAAGGCTAAGAAATAATCACCATTTTTTGTTGTTGCCTACAGCAGTAGGATCTGTTTTTTCCTGATGCATCAGGCAGCAAATAACTGCCACTTTTGAGGCAGGTGAACAGCTTCAATGAACTGTAGAATCTCTGGAGCAAGTTTCAATGGGAGATTTATTAAAGGTTTACAAGCCCCATATTTTAAAGTTAGCAGCATGAGTAGTACATGATATACATATTTACCACCAGCATAGATGTTTATCCTCTTATCTCTTGTTAATATAATCACTTGGGTGAGAAATTAAATTCTGTCTTTTGAGAGCTTATGAATATTATTGACTCTGCTTATGAAGGCCTGACTGTAACAGTGGCACATTTAATTCATTTTTATGGTTTGGAGAAGACGAGCTCATTTGTATTTATGCATGGGAAAATAGCTTCAGTTGTGTTTGTCACTTGATGTGGAGTTTTGAACAGAAACAAAATTTCATCGAATGCTTTTGAGGACCAAACTGTTTGTGAACAGAAGCATTTATTAATCAAGAAATGATTGTATTTCCCCCATGGCCAGTCATTGCTTATCTTGCCTTTTAAAGTCTATTTTGCAAAAAGAAACTGCCATCAGCGAGCAATTCACCTTTTGGGACATGGATCAGATAATCCTGTTGTCAGCTGTTGGTTGTGGATCAGCACCTGTGTATGTGTGTGTTCATGGATCAGGCAGGAAGGTAGCAGGATTAAGACTTTGATAAGCTTTAATGTTCACATTTGTCTTTTGTTTTTATTTGTTTTTGAGACAGGGTCTAGCTATGTACTTGAGGCTGGCTTTGAACTCACTATATAGCCCAGGCTAGTCTTGAACTCATGGAGATCCTTCTGCCTCAGCCTCCCATGTATTGAGATAACAGACATGCACCATTACACCTGGATCACCACATCTTATCTTTTTAATAAGAGAACCTGATATTTTAGAATCTGATCCTTAGATAACTAGATGTGGATTGGGGCATCAAGAAGGAAACTTCAATATCATGGAAACTTCCAATATCATAAGGGACTCAATCATAAAAGCCATTCTCTGGGTAAGCATATGGGCTGCAAGAAGTAATATGCCTGTTCCTATTCAAACTCACAAGCAGCCTGGGCATACTTTGGCTATAGGGTTTAGTTCTTCACTTAAATAAGCTACTGGCTGATGGCTAGGCCCCAGAGACGAGGTAAAAATCCCTCATCCAGTCCCTATTTCTCAGTAAGGAAGAGAATATATTGGATTTGAGCTGGAAGTTCCAATGTAGGGGCAACTTGCAGAGCCTTCTTGAGGACTTGTGAGGCCTATGTGATCTCTAAGCTCTAAACAAGGGGAGGGTCCCTGTGTTCTGGATCTCTGAGAAATTGGTTCAAAAGGTTAACATTTTTAGCATATTTTAGAATCCAAGTTTTATTAACCCTGTTGCTACTAAGATGGATTTCAGCTGCCTCATTTATCTCTGCATATTATATGAACAGAAAAGTGAAAGAAAGTCAGCATGTAACAGTTTTAGAAATGTACTTTTCTCTTGCCATTCCTCTTTTCCATACTGCCTTGAAGTCAGCATATGATGGACTGAAACATCTACAAACTGCAAGCCAAGTCCATCTTTTCTCCTTCAAGTTGTGGGAGTCTGGTGTTGTGTTTCAGCAACCAAAAAATAAGTCTAAGACAAAGGTAGCAGAGCCATGGGTTTGTTGCAGTGATGCTACCTGACCATCTGGTTTACCATTTCCCCATTTGATCCAGATTTAATCAAGTTTTCCTGAACAATTTTACTCACACTCCTATATATTGACCATAGTGGTATCCCACCTCATGCCCACCTTGCAATTTCCCATTTTCTCCCACTTTGCACCTGCCTCACCTTGTAGTTTTGCTTTATAAAAATCCCTAGAAAAGGCAGAGTCCTCAGCAATCCACTCTGGACCCCTCTGTCTCTCTCTCAGACAGTGGTCTCTTTCTTTCAATAAATATATTCTGTTTTTAACCTCCATTATTCCTAAAATTCATTCTTGAATTTTATAGTAAAGTCATACCAGACATCTAGCAAGTTGGGAGTTTCTTTCCACAATATCATTACATCTTCTGTTTAGGACGTTTAGCCAGTTGTACCTTGAGAATCAAGAGCAAAATTTTGAGCTGAGTGACATAAATACATTTCAATTTGGCCAGAAGGGAAGCTGCAGTGAAATTGGAATCCACAGTGGAGGAGTAGACAAGAGTTTGGCTCATACACAATTAACATTAAAATGAAGACAAGTGTTTTGGATCTGGACAATACAAAAAATGTTTCAAGGACATGGAGGAATTAAAAAGACCCTGCCCATGCCTTGCAGACTGAAAAGTGGAAAAGTGAAGGACCTTTGAGAAGAGAACTCCAGGGCACCATGCTCTGGAATGATATCACCTTAGGGAATGAGAAAAATTCTGGGAATTCAGGTCACCACTCTGAGCTGTCCAGGAACTCAAAGGCCTCTGAAAACACTAGAAAGGTACAGAAGAACTCAGGTACTTTTTCAAACTGGTTTTATGCACATGCAGAATGCAAAAATTGTGAGGAGTCAAGGAGACTTCCCCTCAGATTTTAGAGGATTGCTTGGGAGGCCAGACAGTGAGTTCCTGGGAGGACAATGCTTGAAGCTGTGAATATGAGGCTAAAAGTCCAGTGGAAACCACAAGAAGTTGAGGAAGCCAGGAATGTAAAATGTCTGAGGAAAACCACCCAGAGTAGGCAAAGTCAGTTCAACAGAGAAGACTTAAGATCTGCAATTATTAGCAATGCAAAGGAGTGGGGCTGAGGTAGAGTACAGGAAATAAAATGTTGGTTAAAAAGAGACAAGCAAGTCAGGGCTTTAAAATTAGCTAACTGTAGCTTCAAGTTAAAAGCTTCTCAACCTCCTTCCCCCTCCAGGAAACTCAGAAAAAAACCCTTTAATGTGCTTTTACATCAAGCCTGTAAATTCAGGCTCTATGCCTATCCTTTTTTTCTGTAAATTGTGCCAGCTCCAGTCCCAAGAAAGCTGCAATATTGGTGGGGAGCATATCTGAACTTCAAACACATGTAGATACCTTGCATAGTAACCTGAAAGACCATAATAATGCTGGATCTCTGTTGTAACTCAAAAATGAGGCATTATCCAAAAAAAGAAGAAGAAGAAGAAGAAGAAGAAGAAGAAGAAGAAGAAGAAGAAGAAGAAGAAGAAGAAGAAGAAGAAGAAGAAAAGTGCTGTATTTATGCTGGTACCCAGTGGCACAATCATGTTGTAATTGCAGGGCTATGCAACTAGGTTAGGTCCCTGGGAGCTTTATAAAGGGAGAAACTGCAAAGCAAAGGGAAGTGCCTTAGTGGGAAGAAGGTCTGTTGTCTCCTGATTTGGCTTGGAGACAAGTTTCTTTGCTTTACAGGATGTTAACTTGTAGTCGGCTAGTTTCAGGAACAAGTTGCTGTTCTTGGAGGGGGGAAGTTCACGGGAAACAGAAGTTGGAACAAAGGTCAGGGTAATGACACTTGCAGAACAGGATAACTGCACTTTGGGTAGGTTACAACATTCCCTGGTGATTTTAATCAGGGAGCCATATCATTGGCTCATGGGAGGGAACTTCAGACAGGGTTATCTGCTCATAGTCTTGTGTCCTTAAGATCATCAATTTAACAGTTTGAACCCAGTCTTTGACATAGTTTACCAATTTGTTTATAAGGCAAGGTCCAATAGTTACACAGACAAGGAGGATTAACAAAGGCCCTGCGGCTTCTGTTATCAAAGATGTTAACCAAGAGGAAAAAGAGAATTAACATTTAAACAAGTTTTGTTTGGCCTGTCTGGCTCATTCTCATTCTTGCAATTGCTTTTTAAGGCTTGCCATGTTCTATCTGATGACCCCAGAATGGTTGGCATATAGGCAGCAGTCTTTTGCTAAAGCCAAACAAAGACTGTTAGGTCTGAGAGAAGGGGGAGGCGGAGAGAGAAGTCCGTGGGAGGAATGGAGCGGAGTGGACGGCCGTGAAAGTAGTGGTCAGCGGTGGCTTTATTCCGGGAATGCGGGGAGGGGGCCCCCGTCGCCGGCCCCGGGCGCAGCATCTCTACGCCCGGGGCGGGTGGTCTCTCTCTCTCTGGCAAACTCTCTCTGGCGAACTCCCTCTGGCAAAAACTCTCTCGGACACGTGGCGTGGGGGATCTAAATAATCTAAGCTTAGGGCAGTGCCCCAAAGGCCATTAGGGATGCACAGGTATCTCATTGGCGCACAGGTCCTTAAGGATGGGGATATAGAATTACAATCAAGTCCATAGGGGGCAGGGTGGGGGAGGAGTTTAGCTGCAGCCTTTTCTGGTTACAGTGTTTCATCTGGGCCGGCAACTCTTTCATATCCCGTCTTCTGGTTATTAGGAAAAGGGGCGAAGATCTCTCTCTGTAACTACTTCCTGCTGGCTGAGGGCGCTGTATTGGGGGTCTAGGGGAGTTTGACGGGATGAAGGTTGATGCCCAGGTAGACACTGATGCCAGGTGTTTTAGCCATGACAACTTCACTGGTGAGTGTACGTGTGTCAGACTGGAAAAACAAAGAGACATAATGTTATTAGGAGACATGGCACTATTATATTTAAGGACCCAGGTGAGGTAGATAGGAAGGTGACTTTGGTTTTGAGATGGTATTTTATCAGGGTGATGTTGAGGTGGCAAGGCAGAATTCTGAAAAATAAACGTGGGATTAGGAGGAGTGAAGTTATGAGAGGTGTTTATTCCCCCCTATGAAAGCATAAAAGTTAAAAGGTAGGTAGGTAAGGCTTGTCTCTGGTATATATGATGTTGGAGTCTGTAGGCAACCGTGTTAAGGACTCCTGCTATAGAAATGATTATTAATAGAATGTAAGAAATTAAGAATCAAACTCGACAACAAAACATGACAACCTGTGAGTTATAAGGCGGAGATGAGCATCAAAAGGATGGTTAGATCTAGGGCCTGAGTGATGTGAGACCAGAATGGCAGTTTAAAAGGGAATAAAAGTATTTTATGATTTAGGACTGGGGCCTGTATAAAAATGGGCCTGTTTGTAAATGGCATAGGTTGACCATCAATAACATGTCATAGAGATTGATTTAATATAGCAACCTGAATACTCAGGAAGAATCCTGTATATATGGCTTCTATGTCCACAAATATAGAGAATATCTTACCTGAGACTGTAGTGTGACTTGGAATCTGAGACGGACACCCACAAAGGGGGCTGCTGTTGTCCTGAACTTTTTTAGTCTTCAGCAGCGGATTTTCTGTCGGTGACGAATCTGGCAGTGTCGACATTTCCTATGAGGGCTAGAACTTAGGATGGCTTACCCACTCTCTGGTGGCTAGGACAGTCCAGTAGCCCTGGAGTAAGGTCTCAAAGAATGCCAGGATGGGACATTTTTTGTCCAGTATCTTTTGCTGTATTTGAGCGTGGTCCATGGAGGGGGCAGGCAGCTCCACCTTGTGTAGGTTTACCTGTCTCAGAACTTTAAGTGTCATAAGTGTTAAAAATATAAAAAACCATATTAAGATCTCTCTAAGTTTTGAAGGTCAAGTTTTGCCTTTTTGTTTGGGATTTGGACTATAGTAGAATTAAGTAAGTATAGGTTTAGCAATCTTATGAATAAATCAAAACTGATATAATACTGTCAGATTTTGAACACAGTTACTTTTAAAGTTGTTATTTGCAGTATTATGAACCAAGACAAATAAAATAAAACTTTGAAGAAAACCCTTGTCTTGAAATAGAGCTAGTGGTTTCCAGCAAAAAGGAATTTATAACCTTAGTTGTTAAACAGGAGATTGGTGAAGGCTTTGATTGATAAACAAGGCTGGTAAAATTATCAGGTGGCCAGTAACTTTGATTAAATGGTTTGAGAATTGTAATAAAAGCATCTCTTGAGCGGAGCCAAATTGTAAAAAAAAGCATGCCTGAGCAGAGCCACTGAGCTGCTGTGTGTGCGGTGCCGCAGAGAGGTAGGCAAGGAACTGTAGAGTGGGCGGGGCGAGCGCGGGACACTGTAAGCAGACAACGGAGGCTTACTGTGACGCGCTAATTGTCATGTGGCAGCAGTGGCAGCCTGTGTGTGTGGTGCCGCAGAGGGGCAGGCAAGGAACCGCAGAGTGGGCGGGGCGAACGCAGGACACCATAAGCAAAGAACGGAGGCTTACTGTGACGCGCTAAGCGGCGCAGGGAAATGACGTCGTTTCGCTGCGATCGCGTAAGGGGGTGGGGCTTGGAGGCCCCGAATGGTGATCCCAGTTGACACCTGGTGCCAATGGGAGCTGCGGCTCGCCTTCGGTCCCCCGGAGGGACGGGGCGACGGCCGAGGCGGGCAGCAGAGATGGTGGCCGCGTCCCGGAGGGGCGGCGCAGCGGCAGAGGCAGTCAGAGGCACGGCTTGTTGGCTGCGCGGAGCCCTGCGTGCGTGGGGCGGGGCGACAGAGGGGGTGGCCGCGTCCCGGAGGGGCGGCGCGGCGGCCAAGGCGGTGGCTGTGCCCCGGAGGGGCGGGGTGACGGCCGAGGCGGGCAGCAGAGATGGTGGCCGCGCCCCAGAGGGGCGGGGCGGCGGCAGAGGCAGTCAGAGGCACGGCTTGCTTGCTGTAAGGAGCCCGGTGTGTGGGGCAGGGTGTGGCCGCGGGAGAGGCACAGCGTGAAGTTAGGTGGGCTTTGTTTTGAAAGGCTCACGGCCGCGCCAGAGCTGGGCGTGCTGTGAAAGCCACGGCTTTTGGGCGGCTACGGCGGGCGGCGTATGGCGCAGGGACGCTGCCGCTGTGGGCCGCGCGGGTGGTGAAACAGGAAATGGGCTGGGCTGGAGACCAAAGCCAGAGAGGCCCACAGAATTGGAACGCAATGTTAGAGCGAAAAGAAAGAAAAAATGCTGTTTTTAAAATTAAAAGCAGTTTGATGTGAATTTTAGGTCTGATTGTCTGGTCTCATTTAACCTCGGTGGCGTAAAGTGGGAAACAAAAGGGAGAGGAGCCAGGCGCGGGCGGAGCCAATGAATGGGAAGGGCCGGGGATCGAGCCGCTGCGCCGGCGAAATAAAGGGAGCTAAAACGTGGTGGGAGGGGGGCGGGAGAGGCGCCTGGCACAGAGGAGCCAGGCGCGGGCCCCCCCTGGGGTGACCAGGCCTTGCCGGCCACGCGGGAGATGGTCCCATGACTGTGGGACCAGCGGCGCCGAGGCGGCGCGCGGAGGCAGCGCGCGGCAGGGAGGGAGAGGAGCCGCGCTGGGAAAGAAAGCTGCTTTAAAAGTTTTGTAAAGGGCCCTCGCGCCCAGAGCCGCTGCGCCGGCAAAAGAAAGGGAGCTATAACGTGGTTGGGGGGGGGGGAGGGAGAGGCGCCGGGCGTGGGCTCCCCCCCTGGGGTGACTAGGCCTCGCGGGCCACGCGGGAGCGTCTGATGACTGTGGGACCGGCTTCGCCGAGGCTGTGAGCGGGAGCCGGAAGAAGGGCGCGCGGGTCGGGGACACAGGGACGAAAGAGCGCACACTGGGAAAGAAACAGTCTGTTTTAAAAGGTATCAGGGGAGTTAATTACCCGAGTGGTAGTGGATTTTTGACTGCAGAAGTAAAGAAATTTTAACAGCAGGGGACTATAAAACAAAACTGAGAAAAGTATAGTCTCTCACCTGCCGCCGAGTCACAGGGCACCACGGCACCATCTGTTAGGTCTGGGAGAAGGGGGAGGAGAGGAGAAGTCCGTGGGAGGAATGGAGCGGAGTGGACGGCCGTGAAAGTAGTGGTCAGCGGTGGCTTTATTCCGGGAATGCGGGGAGGGGGCCCCCGTCGCCGGCCCCGGGCGCAGCATCTCTACGCCCGGGGCGGGTGGTCTCTCTCTCTCTGGCAAACTCTCTCTGGCGAACTCCCTCTGGCAAAAACTCTCTCGGACACGTGGCGTGGGGGATCTAAATAATCTAAGCTTAGGGCAGTGCCCCAAAGGCCATTAGGGATGCACAGGTATCTCATTGGCGCACAGGTCCTTAAGGATGGGGATATAGAATTACAATCAAGTCCATAGGGGGCAGGGTGGGGGAGGAGTTTAGCTGCAGCCTTTTCTGGTTACAGTGTTTCATCTGGGCCGGCAACTCTTTCAAAGACCTCCCTCTTTTAGGAACAGGAGACCTAGTCCCCATTGGTTTTGTAAAACCATCTCAGCTAGGTAACTGAAGGAATCTTCCAGCTTTGAGTCAGAGTCATTGAGAGTGGCTAGATATTGGTGGATGAGTGCACTTAGGTGCCTAAAATGTTGGTCTCCAATTACTAGGCTGGACACTCCCAGACCCATTGATCCCATGAGCCCAATCCCCAGTAGTATGTGGTATCAGAACAGGGTTTTTTGGAGGGAATAACAGTCCATTTATTTGTAGGTCGATCATTGTTGGAGGCCAGGACTAGCTTGAAGTGGGAATGATGGAACCAGGCAGGTTTCCCAGTAACTTTGACAGTGATTGGAATGCTGAGGGCCACAGTGTAGGGGCCTTCCAACTATGGTTTGAGAGAGTCTCAGTGATGTTGTCTGATGAGGACTAGTGTTCCAGGTTCCACTGTAGGGAATTGGTCCTCAGAATGGGCTGCAGGTGGAGGATGTTGGTGATGGAATAACCACTGGATTGAAGTCAGAACTGGCTAAAGGGCCTGGAAGGACTTAGTAAGATCTTGGTTAGTGAGATCAGCTAGTTTTTCTTCAGAAATCTTAGGGATGAGGGGAGAGGGTCTCCCATATAGAGCCTCAAAAGCAACACAGGGGTTACATCATACATGCAAGAGGGCAAAAAGAAGGAGACTCTCCCAGTTCTTGTCAGTTTTCAAGGCTATCTTAGTTATTACCATTTTAAAAGTCTGGTTTATCTTTTCTACTTGTTCTGAACTTTGAAGCCAGCAGGCATAAGGGAGTTTCCAATCAATCTGCAAGGCTTAGGTCAGTTTTTGAGTTATCTGGGCTATAAAATCCAGGCCATTGTCATGGATAAGGGGAGGCCAAATTGGGGAAACTGCTATCAGGGCTGACTCAGACTTAGTAGGAAAAGCTTTGACCCATTGAGTGAAAGTATCAAACGTTACTACTGAGTACTTGTATCCTAGAAGTCCAGGCTTTTTCATCTCTGTAAAATCTATTTCCCAATGTTTTCCGGGCATGGTTTCACAATAGCAAGTGGTTTCTATTTGTTGCAGTCACTTTGGGTTCACTGATTGATACTGAGGGCATCTGAGGCTCACAGACTAGATAAGCTTTGATAATTGAGTAATAAAGAACTATCTTGGAAAAGGGCAGTGAGCTTTGGTCCTCCCAGGTGAGTGGACTGATGGGCTTGTTCGATGAGCTCATGTCCCAACACCTTGGATAGGAGGACTCACTTATCAGGCAGTTGGTACCAGCCCCCAGGGATATTAGGCTTTGCTTGAAGTTGAGCTGCCGGATGCAAGTCTTTTCAAGCATAAATGGGCTCTGACAGAATAGGTGGGATCAACAGTAATGTAGGGGCTGTCTCAGTCCCCACTGATTTTATGGTCACCTTTCAGGCAGTGGCATCTGTCAGGTTGTTTCCTCATATAACAGGATTATCTCCCACTTGATGGGTTTTACAGTGGATGATGGCCACTTTCCTTGGCATCCAAATGGTGGACAACAAATCTAAAATTTGGGGAGCATTTTTGATCTTTTGGCTCCCTGAAATCAATAAACCCTGTTCTTGATAAATGGCCCCATGAACATGGGTAGTAGCAAATGAATGTCTGCTATCAGTATAAATATTTCTTTACTTTCTGACAACTTGAGGGCCTCAGTGAGGGCAATGAGTTCAGCCCATTAGGCTGATATTCCTGGATCCAAGGTTTGTTCCCATAGAATCTGAGAGTCTGTGGTAATGGCAGCTCTTGCCGCCCACTTACCTTGATAGATAGATCCCATCAGAGAATTATGATGGACCTCCAGATAGGGGATCATCTTCCAAGTCCAGTCGGAGCCCCATGAGGTGATGAATTACCTCAATACAGTCATGGGAGGGGCAAGGAGTGGTCACCATCATCCAGCAGAGTAGCAGGATTTAAAGCTTCTGTCTCCTTAAAACTGATAGTAGTCGGGTCCAGAAGTAGTGTTTGATAGTGCATGACTCAGGAGTTGGACAGCCACGGATTTGGTGGAGCCTTGATGAGGGTCTCCAGTGAATGAGAGGAGACAATTAAGAGTTTCTGTCCAAAAGTCAACTTTTGGACCTCCTTTACCAGGAGGGCTCACCCACAGATAAGGAAATCACCCAGAGATACAGTAGCCATCTGTCTGTCACTTTATCAAGCCTCTTGGAAAGGTAGACAACAGGCCTCTGCCATGGTCCCAAACTCTTGGTCAGTACTCCTTTTTGCTATCCTTCACCTCTCATCAACATAGAGGGAAAAAGGTTTTTTGAGGTCTGGCAGTGCCAAGGCAGGAGCTTCAGTTAAGGCTATTTCAGCTGTTTAAAAGCTTGATCTTGAGAAGCTGTCCATTTTAGAGGGTCCTGAGTGGCTCCCTTAAAGAGTCATAAGAAGCTGAGCTATCTCAGCAAAATAGTAATCCAAAGCCAGCAATATCCTATGGCTCCTGGAAATTCTCACACTTGCTTTTTAGTCACAGGGACTGGAATCTGTTGGATAGCTTGCACCTGCTGGGAGGAAAGAGTCCATTTTCCTTCATGGATTTGGTAATCTAATTAAGTCACATGTTTTTGGCATAGGTGGGCCTTTTTAGCAGAGATCTTATAGCCCAGCTCATCTAAGGCATACAGAAGAGCTTGGGACAGTCTTTTTTACCAAAGCCCAATCTCTTTGCAATAAGCACATTGATTTTTATCTAGGGGCGCATAGACTTCGTATAGGCCTGTGTGACTTTGTTGGCTAGCATTCCCAGCATCTTTGTTCAATTCTGGTCTTTGGGGTCCACCAGGCTGCTGAATATTTTTTGAGCAATCTCTAATAATTGACTGAGGGACATTCTCTCAAATCCCTCAAGTTTTTGAAATTTTTGCTTAACATCAGGGGTCCACTGGGTTACAAAGGCAATATTAACAGTCCTTGCGTTTTCAGGTGCTACCGGACCTATGGGTGTATAAATGCGATGGGCCTCTTGCAATCTTCCCAGAAACCCCGAGGGAGACTCATTAGCTGATTGTCTCATCTCTGATACCTTGGACAAATTGGTGAGTTTTCTGGTGGTGTCCCTAAGGGCTTCCAAGAACAACTGGCAATACTGATCGAAAGCCTCCTTACCTCCAATCATATTAGGGTTCCAATCAGGGTGGGACAAAGGGGAAACAGTTATGGCATTTGGCATCAACGGACAGGTTTCCATCTGGATCATGTACTGCTTTTCATCCCAGGGTGGGAATGCGCTCTCTCTTCTCGACAGTACCTGTAGCAGCTGCTGACAGTCATCCCAAGTGGGATGATGAGTGAAAAAGATAGGTTCCAGAAGAGAAATGAGGCCTTTGGGATCCCTAGAAAAAGGTGGGTTCTGCTGTTTCCAATTGTAGAAGTCAGAGGTGGAGAATGAGGGCATCAGAGCAGGAAGCCGATAGGGTGAGGCAAAGGTTTTTTCCTAGTCCTTTGCCTTTTTGATATTCCATTTTAATCATCATTTTCTTAATTTTAGGATTTGAATCTATTTGTTCAGTTTCCAAATTGGAACTTGTTTGTTCAGCTTTAAAATCAGAATCTCTAGTCAGCATTAATTTCTCCTTTTGTAACAAATCTCTTCCCCACAAGTTAATTGGAATAGGTGCCTCATAAAATTAAAAGAAACTCTTTTATTGGTCAGGTCCCTCATACAGCAAAGGTTGATGCACTCTATAAAACATACTGAGGGGTCCTCAGTCTGATAAGGGATGTAGAGGTCCTTTGTTTCGGCCACGTGGTAGGCCATTGTTCTAATGTAATTACAGACACATGTGCAACAGTGTCTATCAGAGCTTTAAAGTATTTCTCATTAATTTTTATAAAACACATAGGCCTGTTTTAGTCACTTCCTTCATAAAATAAACCTTTTTGTAGTTTTGCTCTGAGGGTCTTGATCCCTCCTGAGCTGTCTATACTTAACAAAAGAGGGCTTCTCTTTAGGCAACAAAAACAATTGTGCCATGTAGTCTCCTGTTCAAAACCCAGATATCCATAGCACATGCAAGAACTTGTATTTCATGTCTACAACCACCATCAATCACCCTAGGCACAATAGTTATTCCTTTTAAATTTAGATCAGTCTTTTCCAGCACAAGACCAACTGTTCCTTCATGTGGGGGACCCCAAATTCTTGTCTTAGAAAGCATTTCCTCATTTATTGCTGGACATGGATTGGGGCCCATTCTATTTTTATGAGCCTGCTCTTAGACAAGAGTTTTTAGCACTACATCAAAATGCAGGAATTGGTCATTAGGAACGTTTGTGCCTGTTTGATATCATAAGGTATCAATTGATATGTATCTAAAACATTTTGTAAGAATCACACAGTAAATGCACTTTGGACTCCATTGTTAACCACACTTTGTCTAAGATTTTTTAACAGTTGTATTTTAAAAGGCTTATGAATAAAATACTCCTGATCATTATCATCTGTTACAACTCCAACCAGGAAGCAAGCAGGGAGGGTATTATTTGCTCCATTTGTGACTGCCTCTTCTGGCATCACCTGTAAGTTTCTGGATAGAGCCATATGAATGGTTTTTCATAAAGGCTTTAGCTCCTGCTGAGGTAATCCTTCTAGGGATTTTATTTTGGTGGCAGACACCTCAGCAGGGAGCTCTCTTCCTTCTGTGTCCGAATCAGAGTCTTTGGACTGTGAACTCTTTAACAGACTTAAAACTGAATGGATCAGATTCCAAGTTGAGAACATGCCAGGGGAAATGATGCGTACTGCCCTATGGGCTTTTAAAATATTTTCTTCAACTCTTTCCCAAATATTAATCTCTATAGTATCTCTTTGAGGAAACCATGGGTTATATTTGATTACCTCTTTTAACATTGTTGTTAAGTCTTTCTTTGGCACATGAGTCCCTGAGCATTTAAGCATGCTTTGGAGCAGTTGTAAATACCTTTGCTCCTCTGCTGAAACCTTTTGCCCCTT